GGAATGTGATACCAGCTGTGTAACTGGAGTACAATTCCCAACTTTCATTGTCAAGCTGTGATTCACTTTTTCTTCTAGGTTTAATTGATTTCCTCTTTTTTTTAAATTGGACTGGTATATATTACTCAGTCATATCAATTGCTAAAGGTCAAAAGTGAAACTTCCAAAAAACTGTAAGGTTATGCTGAAACAGGAAATTTGTATCATTTAAAGATGTGTTTATCATTTTTTAGTTTTCAAGTGGGATGTTTCATAGAAATGACATTTGTGGTCACCTTTGTTATTCCTTGCCTTTGTTCCGTGTTGTTTTGTGGAAGTTCTTGCATCTAAAAATTAGCCAAGCTGGTCAGTTGTTAAAAAGTTGATTTTTCTTTGTTTACATTAGGTTGGTGATGGAACCACAACTGTTACCATGCTAGCCGCAGAGTTCCTGAAACAAGTCAAGTCGTTTGTTGATGAGAATGTGCATCCACAGGTCATTGTCCGAGCGTTCCGCAAGGCTACTCAACTTGCTCTGGACAAGATCCGTGATATCGCTGTCAAAATAGAGAGCGACAACCCAGAGTGAGTAGCCCCGGACGCCCACGATTGACTCCCTGGTTGACTTCAATCTACCTATCCCCCTAATACACCCCCTACTCTCCCCTCCCCTCCCCTAGGGGTCCTCATCACCGCTTATCTGCACTCTTGCCTTGCCGTAATTTCACTAAGAAATGCATTGTGGCAGATAAGGCAGTGAAATCCTAGCATTTAATCAAGCCGTTGATTGATGCATGATGCATATCAACTGTGCTGTACACTGTCAACGGCCGGCTAATTGATGGTAGGGGAACCCGAAAATTACAACGTCAGCTGGTGAGTTCTTTGACTCCCCTGATGCAGTTGGACAGATGTGACTGTAGCGATGACATATCAAACTGAATGCCGCGTTAATAACATCAAGAGAAAGTCAACTCACTGATATTTCAACCAACGCCTTCTTTCTCCAACCACAAAAATCTGGAACTTAAATATCACTTCCGTGAGGTCTCATCCTGTCAGAAAATCATGGACATTATTTTTCACACTTATTCACTAATTAAATAATATTTATACTAAAAATCATCAGTTATGTGTCTCCAAAACAGTATCCAGACCTGCTGTGAACGTTGTCTGGTACATTGACTATTACAAACCATTTCCTCGCATGTTGTTGGATTAGACTGGTGTATTGTTATCTAGAATCTCAAGCTGTGTTTGATACTGTTGGCTACAGCATAAAACCGTGGTGTGCTGATGCCAGAAACAAAGCCCCAACCATGAAGCATCTAATTCGCTTACAGCTTAAGTCATCTTTTGAAATGCCAAAGAGCACCGTGGTTGATTTACTCTCACAAATCCCTTTGTTATACTGATTTGCGGTCAGCATGCCTGCTGAAATCTACACCTCATGGTTTAGTTTGTAATATAAGCAAGAATTTATGCTCCCTTTGCTATTTATTTTTAGTAATCTCATTTCAAGTCCCATCACTTGCATCATGGACATACGGGTTACCACCTTTCATTCATGACTATTGTCGAATAGCAAATATTTACAGATTTGGTTATAATTATTAACTGTTTGTGTGAAAAATACTGTACCAACTTGCACATTTAGCTAATACTGGCTTTTTTGTATTGAATATACCATTTTGGTTCTGTCCTTGGATTTTGTTGGAATTTGTCTGGTATATCCTCAGCTTCTTTATTCAAGTGGTTTTCCTACCAAGTAACGTTGACATTTCCTTTTGCCTTTGTTCAATATCTTTATTGGAGTTTCTCAGCCACAGGTGAAAGAAAGGCAGGTCACGTCTCCTGCATTGAACTTAACATACATGGGGAACGTAGTTTGAAGTCGTCTGTCAATCACAGTGCAACTATGTTGGCTTGAGTCATTTACATGTCGTTTTATGGAATTGGAGATGTGACAGCCTTTTAAGACATATCCTATGATTCTTAGTTACTTGGCAGGTTGAGGCATACATATATCACATGGCATCAGTCCTAATTTGTAATCATGAAGGGACATCATAAGGAGCGATCGTCCCTCGAGTATTGCTAGGGCTCCCTCTGGAGTCAGCTATATGTACAGGTGGCTCATATTATGGCTTCAGGGGTTCGTCAGTGGTGAAGTTTTCTCTACACCACAAAAGTCCACTTGCTTTTCTTTCTGGATGATGACTGAATCTTCAAGCATTTGTGAATGTGTGTTTGAATGTATTGTGCCCACTGTCTTCCCTTACCGCATTTGTTTGGATCCTGACATTGTTTTTGAAACCCCCCGATTGACGTGAAAAATGTGTCAAGTCAGAGTGTTACGTTTCATTTACTTTGCTTTCTGATCTCAACTCTCCAGAGACTTCTCATTCCACCAGATTTTGAAGTGTGTTTGCAAGATTTAGAAAGCTACGCCTCTCAACCAAATCTTCCCACATCCTTCTAAATCCATCAGGTTCTATTAGGATTTGCAGGATTGAGAAAGGAGGAGCCCAACCCTTGGTTTCACACACAGTAATGGATTTTTGAAGATTCAAGAAGGTTTTTTAGGGGAAAATAAGCCTTGAGAGTTGGGTTAATGTTTAACTTTGTGCATCACCATTGTATTAACTGCTTCAACTAAAGAATTTAATTTCCTGAGATTGTTTTTAAAATACTGCTGCATTCTCGTAAATGTCTGTTAGGATGTTTGCTCTAATTTTTCCCACTTATTGCCTTCTTTCTGTCTTAATTTTTCGCTCATACAGTTTAATCTTTTTGTATACATTTTCCCTGAGAAATACATGTACATGTATGTAGTAGATGAGATTTGAAGCTTTTCATGGTGGAGGTAGCAAGTAAACTAGATAGGTTTGTGGTAGTACCATGGATATATCTCTTTTTTTTTTAGTATGTAGGGTTCTGAAAAGAACCAGTGGTACTCAATGTTTCAGACAGTATGCTTTGTCCGTCAATAGGAGACTGAAATATATTGTACCAATGCAGGTCACTCATATTGATGAAACTTTCTTGGAGAATGAAGCCCTCTTGAGTTTGAAAAAGGGCACTGGATTAGGTGACTGTTTGTGAATACTGGAAAACGGGGGATGTAAAGCAGGGTCATGAATTACCAAAATATGACAAGATCAGAATTGACATGGAACCATATGCCAAGTCAGTCCAAAAGCTAAGAGAAAATTTGAATCATCTGAGTATGTTAGTCTGGACGCTGCTTGTTTGCTGCCCCCTCCCCCAAGGGGAAGAAGGGTCATTAATCATATTTTCCCTGCCCTACTTAAGTCAGTGCCATTTAACCATTGATGTTTAATGAAACAATGTGTGTTTGGTGATGGAGAGAGCCTTTGGTTCCACATGACCGAGTACCCTTTAGCGTTCCTCAGATGTTCAGCCCTTTTTCTCTCTCTTTCTCTCTTCAACTTTTTTCTTCATCCGTAACTTAAGAAACTGGTTTGCAGAGCAGAGCGAAAAATGTCTCCTTTTTTTTTCTTCCTGTCGTTGGTCAGGTCGTAAATCACTAGGCATTCTTGTATGTGTGTAATTTTTGGAGAGTCAGAGTTGGGAGATTTCATGGTAGAATGCAGGATCCGTCTCTAGCCCCGGAGGCAAGCTTAGATGATTGAGAAGGGATAAGACTGAGTAATGTGACATAGAATAGAGAAATCCGTCTGCTGAGTAACTTGTCTGCTGTCCTGTGTTCAGTTAAAGGGTCAACATCGAAGGGGAAAGGGGAAGGGAAGGAGGGTAAGGAAAAGGTTGCCATGATGTCAGCATTGTATTCTGGCACATTCCTTGTTCTTGTTTGTTTGGATTTAAAGTTCACAATCTGCACTTTTTTGCCGGTGCTCTTTCCTGAGGATAGTATCTGGGCGGGAGCTTTGTGGTTTTTGTTTTTCATGTATTCCCTCTTCTGGAGAGAGCCAGTATCTTGACTTGATTCCAATACACCCTTCCGTCTTCACTGGAAATCTTACCAGCGAAAGTAGTTCCCTTGACACTACCAACTTGGCCAAGAACTATGTCACGAAGAATTGTGGGGTGGATTTTGTGCCAAATTGAATGAATGTCTACATCCAGTCTGATGATGGTGCACTTTGAAATCTCTCTTTAGACCATTTCAGACACCTTTTTTTCCCCTCATGAGTAACATTGTTTGCAGTATTGTATTTTTATGTTTAATCAACCTCTTGTGGCTAAATAATCTTTGACAAATAATTTCAAGGGCAGCTTTCACTTGTAGCTAAGACAAGTAGTTAGTAAAGATATGCAAATGAATTGAAAGCATTGACCCTGAAGTGTTTACAAGGCACCTGCAGTGTGCTCTAGGCAGCACAATTGGAAATGTGATAAAACTGGTAATGTGTCACATAGTCTGTTTAATGTCAAAGACACAACAGCAAAAATGACTCAAAATCACATACAGAAAGCAGTGTATGTATTTTTGATAGTGCACCTATCACCTGTGGAAGTAGACTTGACAATCACAATGTTACAATGAGTTGTGAGTACTTGTCAGGTGCAGGATTGCGCAAGATATTAACCGCAAAGTGTCCACAGATTTCACCTTAGTCAACTGACCTAGCAATGATTAGTAGGACAAGACACCCCCCCCCCTTTCCTGTATCACCACAGGTATCCCTCTCTGTGTAATCCCCCTCCCCTACTTCATTTTTGGTCGGAGGGGCCCATGAGTCAGTTGGTTATGTCTCACCAAGCTGTCAGTTAGACCAAATGAAGAGCAGCTGTGGACCATTTCCATATGATATGGAGTAGTGGGAGCTGACATAAGTAGGGGTCTGTTGTGGGTTTATGATGAGAGCCGTTTTCATCTGTATGGGAACACGTCGGGGGGATTGGCCCAGAATTTGTCATCGGATGTCATTTTTTATACGACTTTTTGCATTTTAATTTTTCATATATGAGCCCGTTCAAACAAATTTCATTGCTTTTGCCAAAGCAATATTTAGGAATTCTCGCACTGCTTTACTTTCAATCTTCCAAAATTGAATAACATTGAGGAGGAAATTTCTGTTGTTGTGCTTAGTACATTCACAATATCGTGTGCTCGTTTGAGGCAGCTGCAGGTGTTCAACTTTAGCGTCATGGAGACCTCAGATGAATCAGTTGGCCAAATGCTGAGAATAACCATTTTTAGTTGACTATCCTGACCAGAAGCACAGTACCTAGACCATCGCAGAGAGCAGTTCTTAAGAGTACTTCAGATTGATTAATCTGTTGAGTTCCTTTGGATCAACAACTTTCAAATCTTAATCTTCCCAGTTCCATCAACATCTATGAAGTAGTTTGGGAGGATTTGGAAGGATTGAGGATGATAGAATCCAGCCAATGTTGCTTTACATGGGACTTAATGCTCCTTTGGAATGAAGGTACAAAGAATGTGCCATTGGTTTCTGGCATAGTTGAGTATTAGTCAAGACTGTTTTGCAGAATGCCAAGAGAGTTCTAAAGGTTGGTAGTTTAAGATACATGTATGTTGTTTCTACATTGGTCATTAAAATCTGGGTTTGTCCTAGAATATTGTCAGATTTAATTTGGAGTTGAAGGGCGACCATATGACTTGCCCTGTCCACTTTCTTACCTTTCCCCAGTGCCCTATTCACCAGCTGTAACCTCCCTCGTATTAGTGTGTGTAAACTGATGCATCGTAACATGTGTTTGTTATCAAGTGTGATGTAAGATATCAATGAGAAAGTGGATTCTGGTTTCTTGGAGTCATCTCCAAGGACCGCCCCTAAATGACAGATGGGGGCTGCTGACCTATGCTTAGGATGATGGCGCGATTTATACGACACGTTCGCCATCATCGCGGCACTACACCTGGTGCCTGTCATGCCGAGATTGGCTGAAATATCCTCGGAAAACTATTTATTGAATACACTCACAATAAATTTACTTTGATTGGCGTTGTGAGACAACTACAGGAGTGAAGATTTTGATTACATCCTGATTCTGTCAATAACACTTTTGTGACACCGTTGAGCTTAAAAGTGAAAAGCTTCAGCATACTGGCAGGGCTGTTTTACTCACTTCCCAAGAAGATCAGTTGACTGTCAATGTTAAAAATTTTTACCAAGTTAAAGGTATCTATCTGGAACAAACACTTGAAGAAAGCATTCACGGCATATGTGACTTCAGTAGAAATTTGTGTACCAGTGACAGTTTTTACCTTGTGTTGGGCTTGGGCAGTTGTTTTAAGGAATTTTTAAAGGACTCTCACTTTTAAAAAGAAATGCTAGAGGTAAGGGATGATTCCGTTGTCATTTCAATCTGAGTTGCAGACTGAATTTTGCTTATGTGCCTGGAATGTTCTGAATCCTAAACTTTGGATGTTTGTATTCCACAGCTACCTTTCTTGTCTTTGTCCAGATTTGTTGAAGCAGAACTAGTTGAATCATCTATTGACTTGCACTTCGGCTAAATACAAGGACCCCCTCTTTTTGTAATCTCTCTAGTGAACATAGAAAACTACTAGAGAAGTGTGCAGCTACAACTCTAAGCTCCAAGCTAGTGGCTGCCCAGAAAGACTTCTTTGCAAACATGGTGGTTAGTGCAGTCAGTCTACTGGGTGAGAATCTACCCATGGAAATGATTGGTATCAAGAAGGTTCAAGGAGGAGCCCTAGAGGTATGTCATCATTCCAGGATGTGGTCCAATGTAAGCCCCAATTCCTTGGCCATCTTGGCTGGGAACCTTCCACTTCAAAATGACTGAGATCATTCTCTGCACTGTTCATCATTAGTTTGAACCTAAAATCGACAAAAGTTGCATGTCAGGTAACAGTGGCAAAGTTCTTAATCCTTCAACATGCTGTTGGACTTGATGTATGATGATCCCACTCTGGCACTGCATTAAGTAGAACTTAGGAGAAAATTGATTGGACCACATAGACGCAATCATTACAGAGTCCAACCCACAAGTACTAGGAAAGACAGCTTTAAATATGATACTGATTTAGAATAGAAGACTTAGTTGATTTGTGTTAATCCACAACACAGTCAACAGGGAAGTATTTTATGTCATTGCTTCATTCTGTGTTACTGTTGTGGTAGAACAATGCATCATGGTCCAGGTAATGATCACCTGTCGTTCTGATGGATGGTCTTTGCCGACACGGTCGTGAGAATCTGTTTCTGAGAGTTGATCTTTTTTATGTTGCACTTCGGTGTGTCAGTTGAGTAGATCATAGTGATTGAAACAGACATTATTCCAATGCTTGACATTGGTTTTCCTAACATTCTGTACATACTTTGTGTGGTAAGAGTTCTCCATCCAGTGGCTTGTGACCGCTGAGGTAAGTAATATCCTTGATCTACAAGTTTGCTGTCGAAAATTGTCACCAGTTATTGCCTCTGTTGCAGGAATCCAGGCTAGTTGCAGGTGTTGCCTTTAAGAAGACATTCAGCTATGCTGGCTTTGAGATGCAACCCAAATCTTACAAGAATCCCAAGATTGCTCTCTTGAATGTAGAGTTGGAACTCAAATCAGAGAAGGAGAATGCTGAAGTAAGGGTGGATAATGTTGAGGTAAGCTATCAAGAAAACCTGTTGGCTGGTACACATCGCCCAATAATTTCTGGCAATTGTTCTCTGAGTCAAGGTAAAATAAAGCTGAACAATACCTAAACAACGTCCTATCTTCAAATTTGATCCTTCCCATTCAGGGCTCCAGTTTTATCTGTAATTAATATTTTAAACAATATAAATTTTACATTCGCAATACCACTTAAAATTGTATAAAGAACAAGAAACATTTTTGGTCTCTCTGTTTCTGTGTTGAGATTTAGTTAGAATCATCAGGGATGTCCTAAGACAACACAACAAAGTTTGGAGAGATTTTTTTGGAGAGACAAACAAGGAAGAGGAAATCTGATAGTATGCTCATCAAACCGCACTATAGATCTGTATCCCTTCCTAGTTGCCTGTCTAGTCATCTCTAACTTTAGAAACCCCCTTTTCCTACCAAAGGAAGTGAATCATCAATGTTATGACACTGAGACCCCAATATGAAGGGGACGGAGGACCCATGCTCTGTGCATGTCCGCTTCAAGAAACTCACCTAGTTTGTATCAAAGTTTATTTTATGAGAGCTTTACAGAAAAGTATTTTGCGTCAACACTGAACGAGAGCAGGTACCTCAGAATGAGGGTTATCTTGTAGATGATAATTGGAACTCATTCGCTGCATAGACTTTACTCTCTAAAATTCTCTGACTTTTTTCTAATACATCTGAGTTCCTACAAGTTGTAGTTGACGCGTATCCAAACATTAGAGTCTCAACTTGTTACTTGAAATTTCCATCCAGTATTACAGAAAACAAGGTGGTCCTAAATTATACTGCAACTTAAAGGTTAGCCCTAACCCCCTAGACCCTTTTTGCAAGGGAACCTCTTGAATCTTCCACGTTCGGGGAGGTGAAAACTTGGATTCTCCCTCAATCCTTCGAAATCCTCCAAAATTTCTTGGAAATGTTACTTGGAGGTGTGCCTACTGCCTCAATCCTTCAAAATCCTCTGGCAATGCCTGTCGTCATGTTGAGGCAGTGCAAATGACTTCTTGAGCAGTGCGGTTGATTCAAAAGAAATATCGGGCGGAATTTATTCATGACTAAGCAAAAAGCAACACAAGGTCTAACCCACGACATTCATGCATAGCATCCTTTGCAAGAAGCCATGCATTTTTTGTCATTCACACTCAATCCTTAGTTTGCATTTTATATTTCATTCAGGAATACCAAAACATCGTGGACGCTGAATGGTCCATCCTTTATGATAAACTTGAGAAGATTCATCAAAGTGGAGCCAAGGTTGTCCTGTCAAAGCTACCCATCGGCGACGTTGCTACTCAGTATTTCGCTGACAGGTGAATAAGATCGTCCCATCAGACAAAACAACTAATGCAAGGCTGTTAGAAAAAACAACTTGTCATTGTCTCCTTGCGGCAGGTTTCTTCAGGCTAATTATCTATAATGGCAAGGGCCCTTTTGAGGAATCCATGCTTTCATTACCAGAAATATTTAATCATGTTGTTGTTCCTTTGAAGGTACTCAACCCCCGCAGGGTTTTCAGACATTTTTTGCTGAATCAAAACCAAGCTCAATTTAATCCCACCAGAGCAAGAAATCAAAAGCTGGTATGACAGGTCGTCTGTTGAATGCGCAGATTGCCAAACCCCACAAAGAATGTGTGATGGTGGCAGAGATAGGGTCAAGTCGGATTCCAGCATAAGTGGAATCAGATTCTGTGATGTTGTAAAAGTCGGGCGTGAATGGGGTTCATGCCACGCAGTGCCTTCCCAAGTTGTGCGATTGGCCACCTTGGGTGCAGAGCTTGAAGAACAGGGCCTGCTTGCTGTGACAGGCTTTGGCACTTTCATGTTGTCAGTAGATTTCTGGGTGTAGCTAAATACCAAGATGGCCTGAATTTATTTTAACGATATTAGTTACTGACCCTGTGCAATGGGATTTGTTTGGCACTAGGGAAATTCTGATTTCAAAGGAGATATTCACTGTTTATGTTTTGAGAGAGTGTCTACAAGACTTTGACGTGTTTTCCAGGGATGTCTCTGTCAGGATTGGTTTTATTTTTCATGCATCTCTGAGGAAAGAACTACTGACGTGCCGTGGAGATAAACCAGGATTCTGTGAATCATATTTGATTGTGTAACTTGTTTGCTCTGTTGGCCCACCGGGCAAAACTAAGCTCTAGGATTTGACAAGATCCACACTCTCAGTGTCTCTTCAGTTCACTGGAGCCAGACATATGGTCAGCAGCTTTGTTTTTAGGCCAAGGTTGTTTTGTCTACTCCCTGGGAGACTAAATTTGACCAAAAAATGTCCAATGATGTTCTTTTCTGTGGGCATGATAAATGCAAAGTGTCGGTGTTGTGGATCACATCAATTTGTCTCAGTCATAAAAGTAAGGGTTTTGACAGGTATCTTATCTGTTAGGATAGCACCTTGGGTCTACTGCATTCACTGGTAGCAAGGACAAGTCAGGTTCATGAAGCATCTGGGTCAGATGTGACAGAAGCCATCCCGTCTGGGCCTATCTGCTTCAAATGGCCTAGACATTATTCATACCACTTGGGGAGGGGGAGCCATCCATTAGACGCAAACCATGGAGTGCCTGAGTAATGAAACTGACACTATCCCAGGGATTCCTAGCTACAGTCTTGGGGTTTTTGTCAGACAGATCAATCTGGGGGAAGAAGTGGAATCATTGTGCCTTCATATGAATTCCAACGCTTAATTAAAAACTACTTTAACAGTGGAGTGGTGGTGTTTTTTTGGACTCAACATGTATTTCCATATTGCAGTGTATGCATCAAATTATCAAGAAATGAAAGATTTTTGACTACAAGAGTGACAATTGAATAAGACCATAAGACGTTAAAGCAGGGGCGAATACAGAGGCATATTCAGAAGACAAAGTCTTGTTCAGAAATGCCTTATTTAGACAAGAAAAAGAGAACCAGACAAGGAAGACTGACAACAGATTATACATGAAAGAAAGACAATTGCAGGACCGTGCAGTCAAAATAAAACAAAGACGAACCAACACTGAACAGACTTGAGGTGTAACAAAAACCAGAATTACCAAACACAAGAAATGTTAGAAGAACAAAAGGACGATTAGAATGATAACAGAGAAGGAGCTACCTCAGGTAATCAGAAACTGGGTGTTTTTGTAGTTGCTCTTAAAGCATCCCAAAGATGACTGGGACTTCATATTACCATCAATACTATTCCAAAGACGGGGTCCTGAGAATCTCGGTGTATTCAGGGAATAGGATGTACGTACAAAAGGCAAAAACAGATTGAGAAGTGCTCTAGTGCCGTGGCTATGCACGGAATAAACTGCGGTAAAGTAAGAAGAAAAAAACGAAGGAAGTAGGTTGTTAACATGCTTAAACATGAAAATCCCTGTGTGAAGTTTGCTTATCTCAGATAAAGTTAATGTATGAAGAGAAACAGAGAGGTGCTGTAGGATCCCAAGGGCGTGAAAGGGTGGAGATTGTAATGACCCATTTGTGAATAATTGTGAGTGAATGAAGTTTGTCGTTACTGGAACGTGCCCAAACAATATTGCAGTAGTTAAAGTAAGGCAAAAGAAGTGTGCAAGCTGGGAGAAAGGAACAAAGTTTGGAAAGAACGCCAATGTTACGGGAAACAATCTTGCAGATGAAAGAAGTCACTCCAGCTAAGCTTATCATCAACAATGACTCCCAAGAATTTTGTTGAATGAACAATAGAAATGGGGGGATATTGTTGATGCTGTAGAAATTAAAAGATGCTGAACAGCCAGATTTATTGGAGAAGATGCATTTAGTTTGAAAAGTTTTAGTCAGCATTTGAAAACTTGGTGTCCAAATTCCCCATCAACTGGAAATTACAGTGTCCATATTGCCTCGTGTGTGCATGCGATGCGTGTAAGAAATTTCAGGGATGTGAGAATCCATCTTTTTCACTGATTTTTGTGTGTAGATGTTGACTGTGAGTTTCAGCTTTTGGTCTGCACAAAAGTATGGGAACTTTTTACATTGCAGCTTTTTGCCAGCTGTGTTCAGCATTAATTTTAAGGAGCCACTCACACCCCTGAAATTGTCAGATTTAATATCTTTCCCAAAATGCTGATAAAGGTTGTATTTGTGGATAGGGGCAATTGATGCAAAGAGAAGTAAATCAAGAGATGGAAGGAATAACAAGTTTGTTTGATTTCACACACAGGGACATGTTTTGTGCAGGCCGTGTAGTAGAGGAGGATCTCAAGCGTACTTTACAGGCCTGTGGGGGCGCTATACAGACGTCAGTTCAGAGTCTAACAGAAGATGTCCTGGGAACATGTGAAGCATTCAATGAGGAACAAATCGGAGGAGAGAGGTTGGTAGACTGTCATTAATGGTTAACTGGTTTCTTGTTCCTAAAGTGACCATGAAACTGAAGCCAAGGATTAAATCCTTAAAACAAGAAAAAGTTGTTTTCATCTTGGTCGTCATTGTTTTCATTTGGTGCCTCTTTCATTATGCCAGTGCTTCAAAATAAGGGAGAACACTCCTTAGTTGCAATGTTCAATTCAGTATATTTGAAGTGAACTCTTTTTAAATCAGTGCTCATGGTTAAACGATGCTAGAAAGTTAGAAATTTTATTTTAAAATGTATTTTTGGGTTGCTTTACTCCACATTAAGGAGAATTTAAATTACATAATAAAAGTCGATGTTTTTACAATGTAGATTTGGCCAACCTGTTCGCAATTCACTTTCATCAGTGGGCCCTAGTACTTACGATTTCTTGTCATGGTTGGGTTACAGGTATAACTTCTTCACAGGATGCCCACAGGCCAAGACTTGTACCCTGGTGTTAAGGGGAGGGGCAGAACAGTTTATTGAGGAGACGGAGCGTTCTCTCCACGATGCCATCATGATCGTTAGACGAGCCATCAAGAATGATGCTGTAGTTGCAGGTCAGGTGGCCTCTCTCAAATCTGCAACATCTGTTGGAAGAGTTTCATAGTGATTACAAGATAATTTGTCTCCTCGCTCCTCTGAGTTATGGGAACCTTGGCATCTCAGAGCTTCTTACGTCTGGAGGAATGGGCTCTCTGTTGTTCACTTTTATTTTTGCTCAAGGAAAATGCCTGGTTTACATTTCATTCAACTTTCTTTGACGGTGCAGTAGATTTATTTCCAACTATTTTCAATTTTGGGGGAGAGATGAAGACCATTTGGGTCATGAGCCGTATGAGATTATGCTGCTGTTACAGAAAATCAAAACTCCTAAATTGACTACTGTCTCTTTTCCCTGTACTTTTGGAATATTTTTTAAAGTTTGAGTGTCAGAATTATACCCTTAAAAATGCGTTAGCTTTGCCGCACATTTACATAGCAATTTGTGTATGCGTATTATCTTTTCTTGAGTAGGTGGGGGCGCTATTGAGATGGAGCTGAGTAAGTACCTACGTGACTACTCACGCACCATCGCCGGCAAACAGCAGATTCTGATTGGTGCATTTGCTAAGGCATTGGAGATTATACCCAGACAGCTGTGTGATAATGCCGGATTTGATGCCACCAATATTCTCAACAAACTCCGACAGAAACATGCACAAGGTTAGTTTAAGTACTAACTATACGTTTGTTGTTACATTCGTTCATGATTCTTAGACTTTGAATGTGAAGTTCATAAGTCTTAAGTCTTCGTTTGCTCTTTCCAGCTTTTAGTGTGTGACTGAGCTGCAGTATATTTCCCTGTTGTTACTTTTCATCAGTATTGGTCATCACTCAGAATGCCTCCTGAATATGGTGCACATTTTATCTCCACAAAGCTGGAATAATTTGGATCCAAACACCAGAACTCTTTAGAGAGAAACACAGTAATCAATACACTTGTAAAAATCCAGATTTTCGTGGTCAAATCAGAACCACGCTAACCTAACTCCAACCCTACCTTCTTGCAGTTATTGGCATAGTTGAACAATTAAGGACAGGTGTATTCTAGCCATTCCCTATAGAGTGTAATACTTGGACCTGACATCAAGTAGTCATCACAGTAGCATGGCAAGAACCCTACATCATCAATATCCCCCCATCATGACTCTCCCCCCCCCTTCATCAGTTGGACATGTTCACATGTTCGTCTTTCTGCCTCAAATGGTTTCACGTACCCTGAAAATTGAGGCATTTCCTGACCTGCAAATTGGATCCAATTGGCTGTTTTTGGTGGTTGGGTCGAGTCCACCTCTGCAAATCCAATTTCCTGCCTGGCACTTTCAAGGAGTACGTGAGCTACCTTGCTCATTTCTTTTTTTTTTTTTTTGGATAGTACGCCTTTCTAGCAGTACATGTTGGTCCACATTTTGTGTGTCATCCAACAGACCCATAGGTTGTGGAATGCAGTGGAGTAGAGGGAATGGGAAGGGGGTATGTTAGGGCATTTCACCCCCGGCGATATCTAAGGAGGTCCTGGAGTAGCCCATTGATATTGGCATCAATCTGTCACGTACTGTGCCACCAAAATGGGCAGATTGGCAACACAATCTGGTTGTCGGTGATTGTATATTTTCCAGAGGCTGTAATCATGGAATCTGCTGGCTTCCATGTTGTGTCAGCTGTGTGTAAAGTTATATCCTGGAAGCGAGTGGGTATAGATACATCCGCAGCTGGCTGACGTGACTGACAGATTCCTTGTGACTAAGGGAAGATCAGATCAGTTTATTGCACCCTGCTGGATTCCTCGTTAAAAAAGATCAGGGGGTGGACAAAAGATATTAGAGGGTAAGGGAGGGTCAGGTTAAAGGGGATTACATTTAGTCAGCCTGGGCAAAACCACATTTTTGTCGGACTCATTTTCCTTTTTACGGGGGGGATGGTTGATAATTTTACATTCAGTTTACATGTATATTTTAAATGCACTGTGACTGTCATCTTCAGTTTCCTCCATCAAAAAAGCCCAGTAATTCATGACCATTTCAATGGATGTACACCCCCCCTATAGGTCATACATGGTACGGCGTGGACATTCTGAATGAGGGCGTGGCAGACAACTTTGCTGCTTGTGTGTGGGAGCCAGCCATTGTTAAGATTAACGCCATCACGGCCGCCTCTGAGGCTGCATGTTTGATACTGTCCGTAGATGAGACGGTCAAGAATCCCAAGTCAACTAACGCCGATGATCGACCAGTCAAACCACCAATGGGTAGGGGAAGAGGAAGAGGTAGACCTCGTTGATGTGTAAACAGAAACAAATCTAGAATCCTGACTTGTCACTCTATCATTATGTAATGTGCTGAAGGGAGATTTGGAAGCTTGAAGATGATGTAAAATTTTCTCCTTTGTTACACACCTTTTGTTTACGAGTCATTAGGTTTTTTGGTCAGTAATGTAATTTGCTGAAGTTACATTTGATCTTGCAATACACCTGGTTTATTTGGGAGTTGATCTTTTGAGATTTTTTATGGATGAGGTAACAGATGCTAGACAAATTTTGGGGTGTCATCTTGACATCGTTTTTTTGTGCAGAAATTATAATTATTTGGTCACTACTTGTGAATGAACACAACAAGACAAAGTGTTACAAAAGAAGCCTGTTGAAGCTTGTTGAACACAATTTTCTGTAAGTCTCTGTTCAGGTTTTGTGAAAACACAATTACGCTTGAAGTATTATTTTACATCATTTCATAACGTTAAAATCGCCTGAACTCGTAGAAAGCTTAAAATGTGTTGGTATATGTACAAGGAATGATTGAAGTCATTGCGTCCAGTAACCTATTCACCTGTACTTGCTTCCTTTCCCAATTTATCCAAGGTTCCGATTAACTCTTGCTGTAGCACCTGTTCATTTTCTAGAATACCTCAAAAGCCAGACTGTTTTTGTTACATGTAGGGTAGGTGGTATTCCTTGTATTTAGGAGGCGACTTCAGCGTAAAAAATTGTCTTTGTATGCAAAGTGGTCAAAATGCATCTGAACAGTGTTTAAACATCAATCTGCTACGTGAATTTTGTGAACTATGTGTTTCAGTATTACACCAAAGCGATGTCAGCTACTTTTGAAGGCTGTGAACACCGTCAAAAGACTTTTTAGAGAATGTTGTTTGGGGGATATTGTGGTTAAGTTTGCAATTTAGGTAGAGCTTCAAGTTGTTCTGTGTACATTGACAAAAGAATCAAGGGATTAACATGTGAAGAACTCGTCTTTTGCACCTGCTGTGATATCAGCATTTTAGTGAACACCTGTCAAAGTGTAAGGTTTTGAAGGATATAGTCTCACTTATAATCTTTAAGTGTAATTGGAACCATGCCGTAAATCGTAGAAATTGTGTGATGTGAAAATGACGCATTGTTCTGTTTGTGAATGCTGCTAATAAATCTGATATGTTTGGAGTTGAAGCACAAGTTGAAAATCAATGTACTAAAGATTTTGGAATGTTTTACTGCGTGGTCAGTTACTTCCCTTGTGGTTACTTGTATACTTGACTGCATTTGATTTGATACTCGTGTGATATCTTGCTCTTGTTTGGGTTTGGTGAGGAAGTAGCCCATAATGCAGTGCAAAAACCTGGCAGCATATTTGAACGATTTGCAGAGGAATGCTGATGCTTGTAGGTAGTTCAGAAAAAATCGTTGCATGTACTGGATAGATTAAAACTAGCTCAAGTCAAGTTGAGCGAACTAAAGGCCAGGTAGGTACACGTGGATATCCAGTGCTTTTGGCATTCTGAATTCCTGTTGCAAATTCAATCTCTGCCTGGCCTCTTACCCCAGCTAGCGAATATCAAGTAATCGAGATGGTTTGTTTATTAACCTTAACACTCCTCAGTCCTCCAACAGGTGAAGGATTGAGGAGGGTTAGGGTTAATACATTTGCACCTATGACAGCATCAAGGGTAAGCACAAGGGAGGTAATCAAACTTACTAGTATCACCTCTGAGCTGCTGTTGTAGTGGTAGCTCTTGTACATGGTCAGGGGCCAATTGTACTAAGCGCAGAAATATTTGCTTACCAGAAGGCTGGTAACTGGCCAAAAGACATACAGAGTATGTTGCATGTGATTGGTTATCTGTTGATTGTTGCTTGATATGGTAATGTGCTAACTTACTGCAGTGCTAAACAATCTTGTAGCGCTGTTAAGTTGGCCCTGGGACCATAAATGATGAGTAGAAAATGATACCAAATTCACATTTTGAGTAGAAACTGACAAAGACTAGTCATATACGATTAATTTTTGGGGCAGAGCAAACTTTGTCTTTACTTGATTAATTTGTGTGTTTTTTACTTGCACTGAATGATTGCCCTTGGCATTGTGTGGAATTTGATACATGTGTTCCTCCAAAGGCTTGTTCCCTCTGGGTGTGGCTTGACCTTCTTTTTTTCCCAATGCAAGATTTCATTGGCAGGTTGTGAAATTCCTTAGAGGAAGGTCATCAATCCTGAAGTTTTGCAAAGAAAGTCTAAAAGCAATTCCTAGGGTTAGAAAAAAAATGTTCTGCCTGTGAATGCCAAGTTCCCAGTCAGTATCTGTTGGTTCTTTGAATACACAAAGACAGATTGTCAGCTTCAAGGGTTGGTCACTTGACACCAATGACAGTAACCTTCCCCGCACATTGGCCAGTGGCCAGTAAGGTCCTCTGTGACTCCTGGCCAGTAAACCCTGGCTAGTGGCGCACCTGCTGCATCACTTGACCCTTATAATTGATGGGAAGACTCACTCTGTCCACCCTGACCATTAACATGCAAAACCTGAAGGTATTGGACCACTCAACGTTCCTTTAAGCTCCTTGTCCCCCATCAGTGATCAGCTTTCACCCCTAAATCTACAAACTAGCCAAATCCACAACCACCTTCAAGTCACCATGAATCAAGTAGAGAACAAAGTATCACTTCACTGGAGTTGGAGTGAAGTCCTAAATGGACATAATTGGCCGGGGAAAAAAAGAACACCTTTGACGTAATTCTTGAGGAGAAATGCACTGACATCCTGTCTGCCCTTAGTGTTGCACTAGGCCGTCGTAAGGGGGTTTGGTTATAGTGCATTTCCTGCCTCCAGCACTCCTTGGCTTGATTGCTGGTCCTCCCAGCCATCTTGTCAAGCCCAACATTCTTATTTCACGTCTCTTTGGAGCTAGTCCTTGATGATTTTCTGCTACAGGTGAAATCCGGGATGTGGACAAGTGAGGTATTAGAGGAAAAAAAAAAAATTCAGGCAAACTCGTCTGAGAACAAGTCCTGGACAAAAAGAATCTATTTCCTGTGGGAGATCTGACCCATTTATCAAAGGAAGATTCTCCAGAATAGATGTCTTGTTTTAATCCCTGTCCACCAGAGACATGAACTTCTCTTACGGAGTCCAGAGTAAAACCTAAGTGGTCTTTTAGTCCTCAGAGTTTGACCAAAACCTGTTGCAAGTTATGGATATTTGCATTTTCACATTTACTATGGTTTTGCCTTCCATGAAGACAAATTTCTCGTTATGTCAATTTTTCAAAGAATTGTACCAGTAGCTTGTGGGTTTAGTTTGATTCTTTCCCCAGATTATTATCAGAAAAGTTCATACCAGTTACACATCAAATATAGAGTTCATTATAATTGATTATTGGTTCAGTTAAAGGAAATGATAACCAAACACCAGCAAAACAGATTTTTAAAAAAAGAGGCTTGTGTTTTTTATTTGTCTCATTTAAAAGCAGTATTGTGTAGCATCTAGACCTGTCTGGTGAAGAACCTCAAGGGTAGATGATGGCCTTCAGTTTTACCAAAGACATTTGGACAGCTAATATCGATCAATGATAGTCAACCATTGGTCAATTTTACCTGGTACCCTAGATGTATTTTGTGCACTGATTACCAGGGAGGATCTGCCAGTGGTCGATACAGTGGGAGTCAGGTAAGTACAGTGGCTCTTTCCTCGCTTGCCACCTCTGTGACCTGGGTTTGAATTCCACCTTGGTCAACATGTGGATTGGGTTTTCAGTCCCTACATGATTCCGTGGGTTTTCCCAGGAATAGTTGGGGTTTCTCTTGCACCTCTAAAACCGAACATTTCTTCGTTGTCATCTTAGTTGTCACTTCATCCTGTAATTGGTACCAAATGCGTTGTTGGATGAACAGATAGAAATAAATGAATTGTCAAATTGGCCAATAGAGGCCATTTTGGCTGCCATTTTGCAGGCCAATGCTTCTGTGTCACAGTATATGCTGCAAGGAGATTTTCCTGTGAAAAAAAGCTACCCGGCAAGATGGCTACCATGCAAAGCCTCTATAAATTTAATTCCCTTTGGATGAACTGATTTCATCATTTATAGTTGCTTTTTTTCCATCTCATGCATACTTTTACAAACTTACTGCTGTACATCTTGTTCAATTTCAATGTCTTTTCTTCCACACCCTTTGTCTTTTTTGCTGACTCCCGCTATACCTCGTGATAGAGCTGTAGTTCTTCAAAGGATGTTCGTCAATCAAGAGGGGTGTCTTGAGCAGTATTCACTCCATAAGTAATTTCTGGAGGCCAGATCCGCCTTGAGCAAGAAGCACCCGCTCATCAGTTAAAAAAGTCATGTCAGACAGGAATTCTCATTTTGTTGGTAGGAGTGTGTCCGTAACATGTGCATTTCATAGTCATTTGTGAACCAGCAAAGTGCAGTGCCGACCTAAGGAGCCTGCAATGCTAGGAAAATGGGTCCAGCTTGGGGCTCATAGTCTTGTGGTTCAGGGTTCAAATCCTTGGGCCAGATTGTGGCAAAGGAACTTACTCCTTGCCCAGTTTTTATAGTTTTATCAGACACCTAGTCTTGATTTCCTATCCACCTGGAAGAAATCAGTAGATTATTCAGGCTTTTCCTGTAACTCTGTTCAGACCTTGAAGCTTTGGAGTGACTTGAAAACATACGTAGTTATGATTGTAGTTTTCTACTGATAATTTTTTGTAGATTAAGATGTTTCTTCATTTTTAAGCCTTTTATTTGATGAATGTTGGTATGAACCATCTGATTGTTTGAATTGACCTTTTGATAGGTGTTCATCAGAGGGAAAGAACAAACCAAGTTGGAAGTATTCAAGTCTCTGCATTCTGGTATGTAGTCATAGGATTTTTATTCTGCCGATATCCAGGCTTTTGCATTGTTCTGTTACACGTTCTCCAAAAAAAAATCTCAAGTACTATTCTCAGGGTTTCCCTCTTTTCTTTTCCAATCTAGGTCATCCCCAGGTAATGAGGCAAAGATTAATAGTGGTTTGCACTCAACTTGTCCAATCGGCCCCAAGCAAACCAATCCAACACTCAAACGGGGACAGACACAGTGTCTGGTGATGGAAAGTAGCCCAGTGTTCATGACAGAAATCGAGATTATTCAACCAGGCGAAGTGCTTGGAGGTTTGAGGTAGGGACTTCAGTTGATTTTGAAACTGTTGCTACTGGGGAGCGTAAGTCCCTGGTGTTCATTTCTGTGTCAATCCGCTTGGAAGGGAATTGAAAGAGTTGGCCAGATATCCCTCGGCTTACACAATGCATACAAACCTCTATTTTGAAGCATACAGCAAAAAACCTCCCCATCAAAGATGCAGTGAGACCTTTTCAAGACTTGCTTATGGGAATCTTACATGAAGGATGATGGTAAGATGTAAGACCCTTCCAGCCTGTGGGGCTAATGCCCCTAGAATTAGGGTGCGTACTAATTGCAGTGCCACTCGAGATTCGAGGGGGGGAGCGATTTAAGAGTTTCATAGCTGAAGTGGCTAGTATTGTAAAGACACTGGATTTGTCAATAACCTAATCTTCACCTCTTCTGCACTTTTCTGAAATGTAGTTTCACCCGTCTAACAATTTTTGCATGTTTTGAACAGAAAATGTCCTTAATTTCAATAGCAAGACCACATATCCAAGCCACTGATAGAAGTGTTTAAATTAGCCCTGTCCATTTGCTGATTTTTCAGTTGTTCAAAACTCAATTTTTGTGATTTTGAAAAATACAAACTGAATTTTTTTTCTCATCTGTTATAAAATTCCACCTTTATATATATCAGATTTTGACGGAAATTTAAAAGCGTGAGTCTCTTAGCGTTATCAGTGGAATTTTACTTATTAAAAACCAAAATTTGAAACACTTTCCTAAGACTGGCTTTTCTTTTTGGGGGGCAACTTTGTAGGCTTTGACTTTATTGAATTGCTGTAAGGTCTTTTAAGACAAAACCAAATACCAAAGGCTATAGATGCATGTGTATAGCCTTACCATACACGTATTTATAATTCGGGGCGTGGAAAATTTAGTGTTTTCATGGAAACTTGTCGAGAAGTTGCTTATTCACTGGGTCATTCATGAAGTGAAAATATATCATTGGCCAGAAATTGAAAACCACAGGACATGACATATTAATAATTTTTGGACATGCAAAAAATAAAACAAAACCATTACAAATATACCACCAAAACCAACTTTGCTATATACTTACCGGTTTTGTTCAAGTTGAGGACATGAAAAAAGCTAGCCAGATGAAATGCTCGTCCATAAAAATTTCAGTAAAATCACAAGGCTATATAACCTTGCCCACAGTTTATTACAGTTTGTTTATGAAATGCATTTTTGAAGTTATCAGGCGTCACTTTCATTTTATGGCTATTTCAACACAATTTTGATCATATACAATAACAGGTAACAGACTTGACAAATTTTCATGAATTTCATTTTCACAGACTCATTTTTTAAAAATCCCAATAGAAAAAAAATCGGACTGAAAAATTCAGAAGTATATTTCCATGAAAAGCTTTCAGAAATAATCATCTTTGATGATTAGTTTCAGAGAAATCACTGAAAACACTTTGTGACAAAAAAACTGGTAAATCAGCAACACTTGGGCTTTCTTAATTTTGGCAAATTGCCTCGGAAAACATTTGCCTCATTTTCTGAATTGCAACTTTTAAATTATGTTCATAATATGTCAATGATTTTTTATCAGAACAGAACAAAAAGACGAGGCTTGTGGTATAGGCTAGAAGCCTCGTAATTCTGTAAATTAACAATTTGCTTAAGTACCTTTAAGAAAGCACTCCTGAAGGCATGAATATTCTCACGTATGTATATTTCCGTTTTTTATTAATATGTTCATCTTTTAAGAGCAATCAAGACAATATAGTCACATTGAACAACAAAAACAGTCAACCACAACGGCAATATGCTACCTACACGTCAACAAGATCTAGCCACAAACCTTGGTGGATGTTAGTTAAAGCGTACCCACCTTAAACAGGGGTCCGAGTCATTGATACCATGAGCAAAATAAGGTTTAATAGAAACAATTGCTCACAGCATGAGAAAACTGATAAGTGTGTCAAAATGCCATATGATGCATGTCTTGGAATTAGTTCAAGTATATTGTAGATGATTTCTTTGCCCAAGTAAATAAATCACTTACCGGCAACTTAAAACCATGGCCCTGAAAACCATTTTAAAGGAATCATTCCCGAGCTCAGAAGAATACAGTCCCATATAATTTAAAATGAATGCCTAAGACTTCTTAAGTACACATTGCAGCATTACCAATTATCTACATATTCCCAAACATCAGTACAAAGCATCTTGGTCTGGTAATCCCTTTGAAAATTGGAAACAAAGTTTACATAAAACTAACCGTTTTATCTCATAAATCTAGCGACCTCATTTTCTCAAGTCGCCATCACTATTGTGGTTTGTATTGAATCTTTAAACATTATTCTGTAAACATTAGTATTTGGCATATACATTCCTGTTTGCTCATTCCGTCATTCAACCAGACATGCTTCTGTGTACAAGGAGAAACAAACTACTACTTTGTATAACTCTGCGAATTTAAAATGGCATGAATGCAGACATATTTCCCCCAAACAGGGAATGTGAAAGCCCGTTACATTTGAAACATACATAACAATTGAATACGTAGTATGGCACGATCTTGTGTAGTCATGGATTGTTAACGGTTGACTGTCTTTCACGGTTATACAGTAATAAAGCAAATGTCACATGCAGAACTAACACCGGGTATTTTTCTTTCGTGCTTTTTCACCCAGGAATCTTTTACTGTGCTTATTCCACTTAATTCAAAACCTTTTTAAATGCAGAATTGCTAAGTCCTTATGCCTTTTTAAGAAGAAAAAATCATTCCCAAAAAACTTACAATAATATTTTTAAGATTTTATAAAATCTTATAAAATACTGAATCTGGTTTGTCACGATTTAAAATTTTTTCTTCAAAAGAAATTCTGCTATATACATTTTTTCGGAACAAAACACCTTTTTTTATTTTTAGCCCATTCCACAGCGCTAGAGACACGTTGCTTACTGTGTCTTTGTACAAAACAAAAACCGAAAATCACTTACATATAAATTTCCTTGTTTTATATACAAGAATAATAACGTGTTGAGAGTGTACACTTTGTACATGGGCTGCAACAATTTATCGTTAAGAGAAGACTTGCTTATGGGAACCTTACATGAAGAATGACGGTAAGATGTAAGCTGGGTTGTGTATCCAGAACAAAGCTTTTCAACAAAATGAATCATTTCAGATTTTGTTCAACCTTCTCCCATAGTTTGTTTCAACACTGGCTAACAGCACATATTGAGCTGTGTAGAGGCTTTACGTGGCAGCCATCTTGTAGGGCACTTCTTTTGTTCTACAGGGAAAGCTTGGTGCATACCTTGTGGAACAAAAACATTGGCCTGCAAGATGGCAGCATGCAAACCCTCTATACCCTTAGAGATACCCTGTTGAGATATGTGTGAAAGCCAATAATTCTTTTGAAAATTTAAAATAAAAGAATAACAAGCTACTTTAGCAATTACTAAAGAAAATGTGTGTGAATAGTAGGTATTTCAATTTGCTCTCAATACCAGAATAATGCCAGAAATAGCTTTTGAAGCACTATTTTCTATCAGCAACGTTGGATGCTCGTCAAAAGAATTCAAACGTCCGAAACCTTTCGTTAAAAAAAAAATGCATTTTTGACTGCTTCCAATTTTTGGGGAGGTTTAAGGTAGCATGGAATCTTGAGAGATTAGCCACACAAATTTCAAATTGAGCTACTTAAACACGTATTGATATGCCGGGTTTTCCTTTTTAACACTTTTTGTAAAATAGACATTTGGTCATTAATGAGGCCTTTAAATTCTACTGCTGGGAATATTTCCTCATCAACCAGATGGGCAGACATATTACACAGCTGTGAAAGTAACAAATGCAATGTTGCTCAAGTTACGGGACAGCAAGCCTTCTGGAACTAAATGCTTCAGCATTTTGCAGGCAAGACAATGTAAAAAGCAAGATCAAGGTAAAAAAAAATTCACTCTTTTTTTCATTTCTGAACTGAATGACTAACTGGGGCTTGATACACAGTTTAAGGTTACTTCTACATGTACATACTCAACAGTGACTCTGAATTAGCCTAACCATCACATCAGCATAATTACAAAACATTAAATCACTTAGAAAAATTGTTTTGAGGTAAAATGGTGAAAATAACTCCACAATTCAAGGTATATTCCTTTGCAACAATTCAACGACACTGAGCTTAGTATGGACATTTTTTTCTTTTCATACTTTCCACTCTTTCGGAGTCATGATGGATAATGGACCCTCTTTGAAACCAAGGTTTATTTTCTGGAATATGAATAGCCCTATCAAATACAAATCTCCAGATTGGTATTCTTAATGTGTTCTCTCCTTCACTGAGGGCAATTGTGATAGTTAACAGTTTTCACAGTCTGGTTGAAAAATGAAGTGCATTTTTAAAGTTCCCTCTGCCACCAAGACTTGGTGTGACAAGTGCCAAATGTTAGCCTAACATTTCTTAACCTGGTCTCAAAAAGCTAAGATAACCTCACATCACGTTACAGAGCAATACACCCACATGGGTGCTCTTTGTTTTTTAAACTCCACCTAAAACAGGCTTACATGATCACCATAAAGTCGTCTTTATACTACGCCAGTATAAAAATAACAGTGTTGGGTCTTCCCCTAGCCTGAAACTTAACAAGCAAATATGTACAGAAGCAGCAAAAACTTGATGGTAAAAACCAGTACTAGGCTCACACTGAAGCCCTTCTCTTTGTTAACAAATTAAGATCTTGGCACCATACTTTATATATGTCATCTTCGTCATCATTACTTTTTATGTCTTAAAAAAGCTTCCCTGTATAACATGTTCAAGATGATAAAAGCTCCTCTCATTAAAAAGGACAAGGTTACCTAAATGAAGGTCTATGTTCTCAATAACTGGAACAAAATATCCTGATTACTGGACACAGACAGAGATTGGTTACAATTTAATAGGACATCTACAAGTTTGTAAACTACTTTTAGAGTTCAACTGTTGACCAGATCTTCGCTTTTCAGGATTTTCTTTATCCCGTCCATCTTCTAAGAATTGTTAATTCTTACAAGAGCAAATCATTCCAGAAATGTAGCTGAAAACAGGTTTTTTTACAGTTCAATGTATCACATCCGTGCATGAGAGCCACACACAGATGTTACCAGTAGCTCTTTAACATCTGCTGGTTCCCCGCCCCTCCCCAACCAATCCACTGGTGATTTAGGCTGGAATGGAACCCTTGAGTTCCTGTTTATGACTGCTGCTGGTGAGGTTGCATATCAAATTGCAATATGAATGAGGTGGAAACAGGATCAAGGTATTATCAAATTGTCTCAGGATGTTGGGGGTAAAGATGATGACGTAGCAATTGTCCAGTGGTTACCAGCTGGATTTTAAGGATGTATTCAAAAACCCCCATGTGAACGGCTCGTTGTAGCAAAAGAGTTAAAAGATGTCACCTGTCATCCAACAGACAGACAGCGCGAGTGAGAGACAGATTACTTGCTGGGACTTTCTATGTGTGTGCCATAGGTGTGTGCACCGCAGGTGGGCAGGGCAAAGGGTCCCCCTACTCCGCAGAAAGACGGAGACATCATGGTTGTAGACCCTGTGGGTAAGGGACGGGGGTAACAGATAGGATGTCAGATGGAGAGAGAAAAGTGGAGAGAGACAAGACCTAGGGTCAGCACTATCTGCTTGGCAAGTTTGTTTCAGTAGAGCAGTCAAGCCTGTATCAAGCGTTAATTTACACAGGTGACCAGTATGGACAGGTGACTAGAGTGGACAGGTGACTAGAGTGAACAAGTGGTGGTAACAAATGGGATGTAACAATGCACAAAACATGCAAAACGTCCAGATTGAAACCTCGAACAAATGACTCACTTATCTCAGCTTCAGAAATATTCAACTTTCAGTCCAAGTGGGCCCACTAACAGGTGTGACTGCAATTCTAGAATCTTGATTTGTAGAAGTTTTATATTTTTTGTTCCCTGAATGCATTTTTGGAAGTGGGATACCGAATCTGATTATGAGATTTGACATCTGGCATTTGTACACAGGCTATCAGAAAAGTGTGCAACGTAAAAGTTACCCAAATTTAAATGCAAGATTCCCCCCCATAAATGTTTCAGCTGGGTAATGTCATCCATAGCCTCCCATATATCACCAAATTATCCAGACAGGTCTGTGTTAAGTTTTCAACTTGACTATTTCATTGTTTAGCTGTGTTGCTGGGGTCCCGAGCGGCAATAAATCTTCGCCTGTGTAACAAAGCAAGACATAGCTCCGAGAGATGACTCATGAATCTGCTAGAAATGTTCAAATCTCCACGGAATACTCTGCCTTTACACAGGCAAAGGCTTCTGGAAATGCTGTGTAATGGTCCAAACCATTTAGCTCTCTACCCAGTGCCAGTTACTTCATTTTATGCTGCAGTGTTTCCTGATCTTGCTTTGGTAAACTTTAGAAGAATTTAAGCAAGTAACGATGTATCTGTCATGAAAATGGTCCTGTATTTTTTTGGCTGAAGAGTTTTTCTGTTAAAGCTAGCAGGAACTTTTCAATCAGGCATATTTGTTCTTTTATACTAAGACCATATCTCCTAAATTTTTGCAACAAATGACTTTTTTATTTTTCTGTTGATGTTTGATTTGTTCATCCAACAAATCGTGCCTGCTTCACGCATCCTTGTTCTTTTAAGTCTCCCAGGAGAAACAAGATGCTTCAATATTACTTCAGATTTGATTTCAGTTACACAACTGCAATTATACAGTTGCAACCAGGCTACAAAATGCCAAGTAGAGATAGGAACAAAAGGACAAAAGAGCCCAAGGTAATCTCACATTGTCCTTCACTGACTAAGACTATTTTTTGGACTTGGAATGGACATGATTGGCCTTCAGAAGCCATCACATGTCCAAGCCTGCAAAGCAAGGGTAAATAATAAACACGCTAATCCAATTTTAGGAAGGCCTGCTTTTCTCAATGACTATGCCGGGCGGAAATGGGTGAAATGGACACAGGACAATAGCCAATGTCAAGACTAGATTTGCTTGTTGTTGGGCATTTTTTCTTCTATGGCAGAAATTATTTGATGGGCTGTCTGTCTTTTGACATAGAGAGTTAAAATCTGAACGGAGAGAAGAATCGCCAAGGTAATGTGATCAATTTAACTGAAGAGCTGCTGTGGACTGACAAGAAGTACAGTACAATAAGATTATCCGTCTCAAGTATTATTGGCAAGTCACTTAATGGCCATTACCCATTGTAACCATTAAAACGGAAACCTAACGTCATTGCAAAGAGCCTTGAAGTTAAAATCAAATCTACTCAAAGATGGAAATTTGTCAGAAAATAGCATCTCAAATATCACTTCTGTGGTGAAAAGTATTGACATGCAAATTTAGGCCAGAGATTTATGATGCATTTCATAATGGCAGTCTTGTATATTTCCCTGTTGCAAATCTTTTAAATTTTACAAAAATTTGTCATCAAACTCAGTATCCCTTTTTAATATCAAGCAGATGATTTGAATCATTTTCCCCTGTATTTCTCCCGGGAAAAGAAAATGGAAGGGAAACTTGATTATTCATCAGTTATGGCAATCAGCTGTGAATCCAATGAGTTAGTTGCAGAAGTGTACCAGGACCACTACACAGAGGGACAGAACCATGCAAGTTACGAAGAAATACAGGTTTGAGTTTGGGTAAAGAAAAGTTTTCAAAAATTGGGAAAGTCTTCAGGCTCTACGCAATGTAAAGTGTGTCAATGTTGGGAAGTACAAAAGGATTATGAATGACTGAATCTTCAAATTTAATATGTGGGGGTGGGGTTGAGACTGCCATTGAATAATCTGTAATCAATTTATTTATTCACAAAACAAAATAGTCAACCAATTAATGATTTCCATTGATTGATCAGGAACCAATGAATGGATCATTCATAAACTGATGAGCAGAGAGACATTGAGGTGAGGTGGTGGGTTTTATTGTCATAGCAACAGACATGAAGCATGGTAAGATGTACCGACACAAAGCGCAGGATATTAGCAAGAAATGTGAAACAGAACATGCTTGAGTTGAAAGCAGCAATGAATGGCTTGAGGCCTGGGTAACACAAAGTTACATAGAGACAACAAAGGAATTTCAAACACAACATTTGGGTTGCCTATAATGAGAGAAGCTGGCTGAAGAATTGAATGTTAAGCTGAATGCTGAGCAGGACAGACTGGTTGAAATTTATCAAGAGGTGAGATGAGGTGAGAGGATAGTGAGGGGTGGAGGAGAAGGCACAAGAAAGCAAAGCGCAGGGAATCCATTCATGCCCAAACCCACCACCCACCTTGTGTCTCACGCTCACCTGATGCCCCGGCCACTGGACCGATCATTCCAGCCGGTCCTGAGCCAGGTGAGGGACTGGAGGGACCGCAACGCACCACGGGGGCAAATGCACTCTTCTGCTTAACGGCAGTGATCATGTTGGCCGGAGAGAAGGAGAATATACCAGGCGAGGCGGAGGCTGTGCGATGGGAAGAGCCCCCAGTGCCGTTACTGCTAGGAGGGGGGTGGGGCAGAGATGGTGGAGAGGAGGAGGGGGCAGCAGCTAGCGGACAAATCAAAAAATAAAAGCAAAAGAAACACCAACAGTGCGTGATGAGGATGAAAACACTGTGTGTGTGTATGTGTGATTTCTTTCAGACTTCAACCTAGCTGTAAGCACAATGAAGAATTTTGAATGGATACCTAGCTGGGAGGGCAACTTTTATAATTTCATTCCAATTCTCTCAGGAAATCCAACTTCCAACCCTTATCCAAGGGTCCGATAGATCAGAAGAAATTGTCCATGAGACTCACACTGAAGTATTGTTATACCTGTTGGCTATGTATTGTAAAAAAGCACAGCGACAAATTGAAGTCTGCAATGGTGAGCCTGCCTACTCTGAGGTTTTTTTTTCCTTTTTTCTTTTCATTTTGGGGAGGGGGCTTTTACACTCGGACGTGATTTCAGCCATTTACTGGGCTCACGTGAGATGACACACAATGCTGACAGTGGCTGATTGCTTAATGCAACGTTTCAGGAGTACAGCTCGTCAGGCCAAGAGGGGAATTAGAGGTCCTTAGGGAATTGGTTCAAATCCCGACAGTACCACAAAACCTGTCAAATTCATCAAATTATATGCGTCAAAAATGTCTCCATCTGTGCAATTAACCGGCCCATTTCTTGAGAAAATCTTATAAAGTTGTCATTTGGAAAGCCCGCAAATTGCAAATTATGCACGGGACCTGTTGTGTGCTGGCCAGGGTTGTTTTTCAGTATGTGTAAATGAATGTGGCATTAAACTCACTGTGTTTGCAATTCGGGACTTAAGACGCGGGGAAAAAAAAATGAAAGCAATATCCGAAATTATGAGATTAACAAGTGGAGTTTGGAGGTAGCCCAAGGCATCAGGGATGTCAGTGAATAGATAGTATTGTACAGCATGACTTCTGGGTTCTACAAACAGAGACGTGCAAGACAACAATCCTCCAAATTTCATCTTGTACTCCAAGCCAACTTGGCTTGGGGGAAAAACTCCTTCAGGCTAACTTATTTGCCACTCGGTGTCCCAAAGCGACTCAGCTCTTACAAAATGTAATCAGCAGAATGTAGACTCCACATTTGTCTGCAACTGATTCGGTTTTCACACAGCTTCATCACCTATGAACTCTCCACTGATGTTACTTCGCCGATTAGACAACTAATTTGTGGATGCCAATATTATTTCCCTTTTTTCTCCAGTGCAAAGATCTGGTCAACTTTTTATCCCTAGGATGCTACTAAAATGAAATGTATAAACAACTGCATTTGTACACACTGACTAGTAACATTTAGAACAATTCTATGCATTTTTTTCAAACATGATTTTCCTATGCCACAGATCAATGGAGGAATTATATTCATTCTGACACATCTTCAACTAATAATTACCAAGAACACTGTATTTGGTCGTTTCTTTGCACACTGTTAGTACAAAAACAGTTGTCTAGAGGCTTCCTGGTAGACTGATGTTGGGGACAGGAGCACTTGCCTTATTTACCCTGTATTGATAATTAATTGAGATGATGGACACATCTCACAGCTACATATACAAAATTAGATACAGTTTATCTAAATCTAGTTTAAATCAGTTGGAATTAGTCGGTACTTGACTCTCAGGAGAATGATAATAACTCGGTAATGTGGCATCTCAATACATCAGAATTCTCAACACATTCCTTCAACATGATTTCCTGTGTCAAAAAAGATACACAGCTAATCTTGAATTAAATTAGACTTGCTCCAGACTCGGTCTTTCCCTTTGTAAATATTTCCAACCAAATTTATAACTCCAAGTCCAGCACCTACTATGATCACAACTATACTAATGCCTGATGACAGAATGGAACCAGTCTTCCCGCCAATTCAGGGTTACAGAGACTGGTAGAGTTCCTACTTTTGAAATCTACAACACAAACTATCAGAAGACTTCTTGACGAAGCAGTCGAGTCGCACGTATCTTGCTCGTACCCGAGTACTTTTTTCTGGACTACAAATGTTGCATAATCATACTTGTCAACATGTACTCATACCTTAGTGCTCACAATTTGGTAGTACTCGTATCAGTACTCACACAACTCATACTCGGCATGTAATTCATGCTTTAAGACAGTTATATCATAGAGCTCGCACCTCACAGAGAGGTTTCTGATGTAGCAACAGTGTATATCATAATAGTACTCATTCCCATAACTCATCATCAAAAAGTACTCGACTACAAGACTAGAGAGGAAGGGCTAGGTATCAGGCAGTGTGGCCTAATGCAAGAGAAGTCCCCGACAATACTTACTGGCTGTTCCGTTGAAGAGACTGGGTGATGAGGGGATAGCCATGTTGGAGAGATTACTGGCGCTAGCGTAGCCATTCATTGAGGAGTAGGACCCTGTGCTGCCGTTACTACTATGAGGAGTGGAGATACCAGAGGAATAACCCCGAGGTGATAATGCACTGCTGGGTTGAACTCGAGAAAAACCTGAGCAGGTGAACAAGAGACAAGTGCAGGACAATCAATCAGTAAAGGGTCTTAAGGAAAAAGATTCTTATTACATTTTAATGAACTGACAAACCTACACTGTCATTTGAGGATTCAGAAGCAAACAGAGATATACATATCTGTTGGTGAGATTTAAATTGCAAGTGTCCTTGAAACGAGATTTTATTCTTGAAGAGCCAATTAAAAGGCGTGAATATAACATCAGATGCAATCTAGAAGGAAAGAAATTATAACTGAAGTTGAAATCTGAAGTCAGAGGACTCTTTAATTTTTTGAGGTTGGTTTATTTCATGTCTCATAGTCGGTAAGCTTTTTTATATTTTACATTTTAACTCCCATTGAATAAAGAGAATATCACAAAAACTTCACAATGTTCAGGCAAAAATTATCTCTAAAAAAACTAAGGCAGGAAATAAAGATCTGAAAAAAAAAAATTCAATGTGAAAACAAATTTCTGCTAATCAAATGTACTGCAAAAGTTCTCACTACTGCTATCAATCCCCTATAACTCCTCCTCAGCACAACCTTGAGATCAATTCAACCTTCACACCTTGCCAAATTTCATCAAGATCAAACAAAGGAAATTACACATTTCCAGATCTCGTGCCTGGCCAGTTTTCCCCATTGCATTTCAACTGTTGCTCACTCCAAAGATGCGGTTATAAACTGGGTCAAGTATCAGAGGTCAGCGGTATAAGTTGAAGGAAATCTCAGCTTGGATAGATACTATCAAGTGCGGTTCACAGCCATAAAAGCACTGGCTCAAGGAATCAGTTCTCTGACCGATAGATTTACAGAAATTGTAAATAAAACCCCTTATGAATGAAATAACTGGGAACATCTGTTGCTTTAACATCCGTCTTCTTACCTGACTGTTGTTCACTACCACTGGCTTCATGTTCGCCAAGAGAGAGTTGACTACTGAAGGAATTCATGGGAACCAGACCGCTGGATCCGCTAGAGTTGTTGATAGCCGGTGAGCGTGGTGCTGGTATAGGAACCTGGTTACGTGGCATCCCATACAAGACCTCTGCCAGGTCAGCTGCCCGCTTCAGAATGATCTCCTGAGAGAGACAGATTAGAGGGCAATAAGAAGATGGGTTTGGGATGATACATTCAAGACACCACACCAGGCATCAACTTCACCACTTTACACTGCGCGCACACAGGATGCTTCCTTTAGCACAACCGAGTTGTCAGTTATATAAACTAATGTGCTGTGCTTATCTTATTGTTATTGACATCTTTCTCAGACACATTTCAGAATTTAAAACAAACCAAATTCTGAAAGATATTAAATTAATTGAAATGGTTCATTCAAATGGCTCATTTCATACTAAGGAAAGTACTTTTATCTGTCAATAAGTTGGATAATTCTATGATTGAATTTGGCTTTCTAAGCCATACCACAGTGCTCCCCGCCATGTTGGAAACTTTCATGAATTTGATGGTTGGTTTCACTGGCTGATTAACCATAGGTTTGGTCAGTTTGCTCACCTTAGGAAGCCTATCACCATCTCCAGGGTGTCTGGGTACCAGTTTGCTGAGCCTCTGGAAACCGTAATCTATGGTTGGTTCTGTGAGCGAAACATAAACGAAACGTCCCGGTGCACCCTTGCAGAACTGCTTGGACTTGTAGGATAGAGTAACCTCTACCACCCCAGGGATGTGTCTAGGTGGTGTTTGGACCCTGATGGCGTGTGCTGTGATCAACTGCAAGAAAAAGGAATTGTGGGACAGGTTGAAGGATTTGACCATTTCTACTACAAATTATTCAAGGTAAGCTACCGGGTAAGAGCCAATCATAATGAGTCACTGAAACACCCTCCTTTGATGACTAGCATTGGTCTCGTAAGCCAGATGTTCAGTCTCATTGGATACCATTCCAATCTCTACGTTCCTTCCTTCACACTAAAGTGTTGAGTCCATAGAGAGATCTGCATTGCACTTAGAAAGCCAAAGCTGAGCCCAAGATACTCTTTTTTCCACAACTCTTCCATCTCATTACAGACTTTGCAAATCCTGGAAGAACTAATTCCCAATTGTCCCTCTTCTGCAGCTGATTAAACCAACAAGTCAGATGAATTTAGGACTCTGTGGCATTCTTAAGATGCACTAATCTTCAACTATTTTGAAGCGTACAATCATTCAGACCAATTTTTTTCATCTTCTCTTTCAACAAAGCAACAACGCCAAGTCTTTTGATAATCCCACTTTATCTTTTTAAAGTATCGAGATGATTAACTATTTGGCCACAGAAGTCTTCCAAAAATAACCAATGATGAGCTTCAAAACCTGTCCGTCAGTCTTTTTTTTTTCTTCAAAAGCTATCGGAAAAGAAGACAACATGTCATCCTTAGAGAAATCTCTCAAAACTCTTCTTTCAATTAAGTCCTGGCATGTAAGAGCACGAGCCTGAGGCAAAAACATCCCTGAATGAGGCCTCTGATTTTAGAACGGACATCAACCTTTGTAATCCCGAACCCCACTGACGATAGACAATAGTACAAATGTAATTAAATTGCTTGTGTGCAGGGAAAAGGAACAAATCTGTCAGTTTTTTCCAATGAAGATGGGGATTTGAAAAACCAATCTGAACAGTCATTGTCCATGTTGTTGCATTCAACTTGGCTGATGACCACGCTGTCTTTATATTGCAAAGTTTTCACACAGTAAGAACTGTTTTTTTTCCACCCTGTTGTTTTCACTGCAGTGTAGAAAAGACCCTCTTGGTCTTCATTCAGGGAATATCTAGTACAAAATATCTCCACAGCAGAAAAGAACAAATGAAAGATTACTCTCAGGTGACATGCCTTCAAGGGAAATGGGAGATTTCGCACAACTTGACAAAAAAGTTAGGACCTGCTCGATGGAAGATAATAACCTGAACAACTTGACATCACACCACAAAATATCAAGAACCAAACTGATTCCAGAGGGAAGTCTACTAAATATTACTATATCAAAAAGGCAAATACGCACAAAGCACGGGACAAAACAAGACCAAATTCTAGTGGCAATTTTATGCAAACTTTTCTGACAAATTTTACAGCCAAAAGAACTTCAACAAAGAGACTCACTCAAGTTTGTGTGTTCTTTGGGGGGAGGGAGAATTTGTAATAACTTTTGACATCAAGTGCACCATGTTAAACCAACTCACCTCACTCCATACAATCATCGTACCAAAGACAACTTGAAGACCATCAAAGAAGTTTTCGCCCACAATGATGACAGTGGATCCCCCAGTTGTCCATCCTTCACTGGGACTGATAGCTTTGATGCAAGGCGTAGCTATGGATGAAGAAAAAAAAGCACTTCCATCAATGATAGATTCAAATAGTCTTTCTCTTTGTTGTTTCCAAGGTACTTCAATCCCATAAAAAATCAAGAAAGCAATCCTCTCTCCCATCAAAAATTACTTTCTTACATTCCAACACAACAAAAAATAAGAAACCCTCCAAAGGATACACAAAATCAGGACGTTACCTTTTTAAGGTTTAATTTTGTTTGAGTTCAACTTAACAACAGCTATTTCAACAATAACTATAAAGATAAATTGATTGTTTTGTACACTCAAATTCACAAGGTTGAATATTCATCAGGAAGGCTGAAGGACAGTCTCCACATCTCAATCAAACCATAAACTTACAATCCACTACACACAGGCTCTACTCACACCCGTGAGACTGTTCATTTCTGGTCTGAACAAATGTAAATTCCACTGCCTTCAAATCAGTTATTGAGACCAATGTTACCATTCAATCCAGACTCAATCTGCAATACCAATCTCAACTAGTATGGAGTATGCAAGCTGGCATTTACATTGGTAGAGATAAAAGTAAGCAGTAGTCATTACAGATATTGCATCTCAAGGATGTCTGACAATGAACATCTGAATTGACGATGCCTGACCAAATCATCACAAAATTAAGAGATATATCTCTTTGTCAAGGAATCATTATTGAGTTAAGAAACAAATGCATTCCACGTTAACTTCATCTTAGTGTACCAAACTATGTTTTTGTGTCCCACTTTATGTTTCCTTTCGATCAAAAAACCATTAGGAGTTGCCAATTTCTGGCTGGTTTCATAGCTACAGTTTGCGCTGGTGACCTCTTTAGTTCCGTCATCCAATTCTTGGTGCTACAAATGTAGAAGCTGAGTGTTTATAAAAGCTTTGTCTTGAATGAACCACATCAACATTTGTCTAGTAATCTCCAAAACACATAACATGAAATCCAGCATAGATAGGGGTGTAAACAGTTTATCTTTTAGTTTTAATCCGAGATGAGCTTGCCCTAGGTTGTGTGACCTTTTTATGTTTTTTTTTTGTATCATAGACACTTAAGTAAACCCTTCCAGGTAGCATCCTCAACAGACAAGACACACAATGACCTAGGGTACTGGGGTTTTTTTTCTTCATCCAAGGCCGATAAGAATGAACAGCGATTTGACATACTTTGATAAAGTGCCCAAGAGGACAATAGACACCAACAATTTGCTAATCTCTGACAAAACACACCTCATCATGACTACCCCTCCTGCTCATTGTACCATGGATTTCCTGATTTGAAGTAACTTGCCCCTCTCCACAATGGGTCCAGAGATGGACACTGGTCTTAGCCTGTCTAGCTAGGAGGATGGTTCAGGTAACTATTTGATTTATGAGTGTAGACACAGGTGATTGCATCCAACTCCATTTACTATTAAAGCTGATTTCAGAAAACACTAGAGATGATGATGATGATAGATGTAGGGTCTATGGGTAAGAGAAGACCTAGATTGGCAGTAAAGCTTGAAAAATGACTGTCAGACAAACAAAACATGTGAGGCCACTGAACTCAGCTGATAGTTCACATTTGCGACCCTTCAATCTAAGCCACAAATACCCTCGAGGAGAACCGATCTTCTTCTGCTGCATAAGTTTGAAAGTATAAAGTGAACCACAGGGAGTGAGGAAACCTTCAACAGACAGGCTAATCCTTGGTTTGTTTTCATTCTACGCTTTTCTCCTCGATCTACCAATATCCCCATCTGCTGCTACTTGTAACAATTTGCAGCCGCTGACAGCCGAATAATAGGAACAAACAGCCCAGGTGTCGACGTCCAAATTCTGGCCCATAAATTTACCTTCTTTTTATGATCACAACTAATCCTCCCAATCCACTTTAATTAAGACCCGTCTCAAAGCGTTTCATTTCAGTGACTTCTACATCTGCAACGCATTCACAAAGGCTGTGTTTGAGGGCGTGAATGCATAAGTGAGAACACTGGTTATCGGTCTTTAAAGCGGTCTGGTGATTTTCATATAGGGCCCCAGTTGTAACAAGTGAGTCGTAACTGGTTTCCTGTAAATTGCGGCATGATGATTGTGTGATCAGAGAGACGTATAAGGACCCTTGTCCGGCACGCATGACATGGTCAGAGAGGCAATAAATTGACGACTGATGTCTGGGAGTTATCACTCATACAGCTTCTGTCCATTACTGAATGCTCCCTGAGCACTTATCACAAGTTGCCCTAAATTACATACACTGTACCACCTCCACATGTTTAAAGGTCAGGTTGTGTTGCTCATCATACGTTTCTTGCTAAAAAAATCCTTCAAAGCCTTACAAATTGCCTTATGAAACAAATTTATGGATGAAAACAGTCCAATTTTATACTCGGACTTCATAACTACAAGTCTAATAAAATAGTTCTAAAGTTGCAGAATGGTTTTTGAAGATTGCTTCATCAAAACCATAACAACATAGCTGGATATTTTTCAAAATGTGTTTCAAAAATTATCTTATATTATACAAGTTAGAACTTTTCAGTCGTCATTTTTGTGAATGCAGATGACAGTAGATAGAACACTGTTTAAAAGTTTGCACTATAAACTACACAAAATCATATAGACTGTCAATTGTGTCAAGACTTTGACTTGCATTGTCGCAATCAGTCACATCAAGGTCACATATACCTGGAAAGCAAATTGAATGGAACACATCCAGCCATTCTACATTGTTGTAATTTGCTTACCTCCCTCTGATGGATCCAATCTTCGTGCTCGACGACCGTGTTTGGAGTTGTTATGAACAAACATGTTATCAGATACAGCCAAGACGTGACCATCCACGTTGGGTGTAGTGGAAATGACAACCTACAAGAAGTAGAAGGGTGCAGTCAGTAGGATGAATGAGGACAAGATAAAGCAATGAGGCAAAGTTAAAGCTATGTTAACTGTACATTTCACTTCTGACTTGAGCCTCCATTACACTCGATGCAAATTTGAGATTTTTAATCTAGCATCAAAATTGTTAAGCAAGTTAGTACGCATGCTGTTGGTCCTGCTTACTACTTACAGTTTCCATAAAATGAAAAATGAATTTGCTTAGCAGAAAACTGTTCATCAATGCAAAATCTATCCCTGCTGCTTTAATCATGTGGGCTAGATCTAATTTCAGTATTTTGAGTTCATAGCACATTCCTCCATACTACGCAATGAGAAATATCAAAGATAGACAGCAAATATGAGATATGACTCAAAGGGATAATAATATAAAATAGGATTCTAAACTGACAATGGATGTCTGTGACACTTGATGACAAGAGACTCATACAACTTCCAGACATTTTAGGCTCTTGAGACATTTTGTTAAGCACTGGAGTAAATTTAAAACATGCAAAAATGAATTTGTACAAATTTTGTTCAATAAAACATTCCAAAGTCCCTTCCTATCACTCAATTTTCCATTTGACCTTAACAAATCAATATCTTTCTTTATGAATGTTGATATTCCTGAATACCCATGAGACACCCTTTTTCTCTTGAGCTGAGAGTTTAAAGGAATTCAAGTCCTTCAATTTCTGGTTGGGTTAATTCCAATTCAAACTGAACACAATAGGTATTTCTTCTCAACTGAGATGTCTGAGGGGTCTATATGAACCTCCCTCGGTGCAAAACTAGTTGTGATAGGAGTCAAGCTACGGTAACCCACCAGGGTACTAGGCCATAGCCAGAAGGCCTCTGTGTCTCTGCTTGACAACAGATAATCCTGATCATGGAATACTGCACCCAGTCTTCACACTCTAGTACGCTGTCAGGCTAATCCCGCACTCACGCTTTTTTTTTTCAGCTGGTTGTGGTCTCCTTTTTTGCACATATGTGTGTGTACTTCGGGAGGGTTTCATGTTTTATTTCCCCTGACTTGCCACCTGATACTGACAACAAGTTACCAGGGTTCCTCCAAGCAAATACCTCTGATTGGCAGTCCAAGGGCCACTCTACAGGAATCAATAGCTTCTACACTGATAAGATGACTGACCGTACTTGACTGACTCGCCAACCAAAGAGAATTCTTACAACCACTGTTAGCCATCTAACAGCCTCTTGAGGAGCCTCTGTGCACTTGATTCCAGCACTGATTTTGCCAATAAACCAAGATGGATGGGGAGCACCCAAGGATCACTTTTAATCAATTATCTTTCTGTTTTCTTTTTTTTTTTTGGCTGAGAATTGTTTTAGCCCGATTTCCATTACCACACTCTCCTTTTCTTGCCCTGACATCCGGCTTGGTCCAAGTACATACATCTTAAAACTCCAGACCAACCCAACAAATGAAAATAAAATTTACAAAAAGAGAAGTCCTCAGTGGTTATATATTCCAAGCCGCATTCTTTTGTTTGTGTAGCTACCGCCAGGAATAGGCTATTGATTGGAAGCCACTTATAAATCCAGCATCGATTTCAGCCCTCCCCTTTTCAAAACAAATCCCCCACTTCCTATTTTTCCTGCTTGTGGAGTAGCACTCATGCAACCACATGCTTAGCATCGAGCTCTGTGTTGACATAGGAAAGGGGGGGGAAGCAGGAGAAGAAAGACTGGCATTGGATGATGAGACTCAAGAACAGGGAGGACAGTCCTGTAATGGTGTCTGCTGAATCGATTGTAGGTGGCACGTTAGCCCAGGCCTTACCTGAAACCGTCGCATGTCCCTTGGGTTGCCAGCATTCTTCAAGCAGTTCTGGTTGCACTTGAGGAAGAACTTCAAGAAAAACCTGCAGGAGGGGGAGGGGGGAGGGGACAGAATGACAACAAAGGAAGCTTTTTGAAATACCAAGTTATGAAAAAAACAAACAAACGCAACTGTTTAGGAGAAATAAACACAGCAGCGGAAATAGATATCTGTTGCTGACTCCAATTTCAATCATTTAAATTCTCATCCAATGATGAGGATTCATTCCTCTTTCATCATGGACTTTTTCTTGAAGTCGAAGATGACAAAATTGGCTAAACCAATCAAGCGAGGTTATGCCAAGAGAAACCTCCAAATAAGTCTTATTTTGAGGCCACAAAGAACACATGACCTGACTCCCTACCCATATTAGAAGTCCCACCTGAAGGTGATTGACCCTATCTGCACCCTCACTCCTCCACCTTATTATACCCTCCCCCTCCACTTTAGACTGTTGATGATACAGCAAGACTGGAAGACTACAGGATGATACAGAGGAGCTGTATATGGATTATAACTAAGCAAATTGGCCTAATTGGAGCTGACACCCATTCTGGAGTGGACACAGTCTTTGTCTGATGATATTATTTAAGTATGAATCTCTTAAGTTGAATGAAAGGCACCTTTGGGTAAGACCCTAAGATCTGGACATTGCCCCCAGAAATGCCCTATTTCAAACAACTTTCTGGATACCAGAAATAAATTTTCATTACTTTATTGTTTTTTGTGTTCCTAACATCCCAAAACAACATCAGAATATGAATCCATAATTACGGTGACCTCCACAGGATTTACTTCACAAGCTTCAAAATGTACACACCTTCACATATCCTATTGGCGTAATCAGCTTTAAGCAATTGAATATTTCAACAGTCTTAACATGTATGGGAGGAGTATTAGATGGAAAATACATTAACTATCTTTTGCTTTAAGGTGAAACTCTGGCTGTATCAAAAAATGATGCATGAGGCTATGGCTAGAGATGATATATGCACCCCTGTGGCAACCAGTAGCTAGTGGCTTAAGCCATTTCTCATAGACTTGTAACTAGTAGCCATAGCCATTTAATTCAGACTCAACATTTGTAACATACAATGCATGATTTCGAACTCTGAACCAAACATCTCAGGTTTTTATTTAAAAAGAAAAAAAAAGCATAGCGAATAGGGAATACCACTTCTGCATCTCAAAGAGCACTGCATGGACCTCACTGGAGTGTGTTGAGATTTGACTACCCACTACTGCACCTGTGCATCCCATGACCAATACAAATCAACCCTGAGGGCAACTATGCCAGATAATCCTTCCAAATTGAAAACAAATCATCATTTTCCTGCCTGCATTAAGACCTGCTTTACTCATCCTAAAAAGCAATTTATCTTGCTATTTTCTACCCCTCCAAAACAGATAATTGGAGACGTTTGCATGTCGCCAGCTTTTTTTTTTCTTTTCTGTCTTTGTTTCTTCTTCCTAATTTCTTGTATGGGATGATCTGGCGTAATCTTTTGACTGACAGAAACTCAAGGTGAATGACTGCCCGGTTTTAACCCTCTCATTAGTATTTCCTTTCATTAATTCCACGGCGCCTCAAAAATATGCAATTACCGCTAGAAAATTCGTTCAAGAAAGTTTACAACATAAAATACAAATGCATTTTTTTTCTTGAGCATAAAAATTGGGCTAGGTTATCATGGTTTGTAACAAGGAGAATCTCAACGCAGATGAAAATCTAACAGATAATAGCTGAAATGCATGTAAATATGTACTCTCAAAATATATCTTAGATTAGCTTTTAAAATGGAAAATAGTTCTTAAATGAGAATGGATGCCAGTGACAGTTTTCACACCAAAAAAAGCTTTCCTAAACAAAATAAAAGACCTTTTTTCTAAGTTACTATTTATCAAATGGACAGACTAACTTCATTATTGCCGAAACAAAGCAAGCTGCTAGCCCTAAATCTGTTCTGAAAGTCTAAATTCATGATATTCATAGCACACAGTTGCCTGCTACATCTGACCCAGATCTCACTGACCAGACAAGGTAGCTTCAATTGAGGAGACATCGCCCTCACCATGGTGTTAACTGGCAAATTAGTCCCTGGCCAAACGCCACACCGTTGCATACTTTATGAAGCATCGGCAAAAACTAGAAATGTGAGGCTTGGGTAAGTTAGTAGGCAACACTCATTCTACCGTTGGCAGTTCAGTGGTGTGAAAGCAAACAGTTTTGAAAATTAAGAAACCAAATGAATATATTTATATATTTCAGTGAAACAGTTTTGTTCTAGTACATCGTTTATTATTCTTATTCATCAACAGTTTTTTTAATACTTGAATGAAACTGCCCAACTTCAGACCAGCCAACTTCAAATTCACATCGCCAGATATTAATTAAGTAATTTGGGGTTCATAACCAAACACCAATTGTGGCATTACGATGTGACCTCAAATTGGATTGATCATATTCACTTTTTAAGGACTACCCTATTGATGCACTACTGGTATGTTCAACACTTTTCCCAAACTATTCAAAAATTCAGTTCCATTACAGCAGACCAAAATGGAAACATCAAATTATAAAGCAGAAATTTCCTGAGGTACACATATCCCAAACCAGTAGCTTGGGTACAATGAACTTCCGTTTTAGATTTTAATACCAAACACTTTTCTTTCATCATCATGGCAACGGCCAAGAGGCCAACATCCACTGTATATCATTGTGCCTGGCCATTAAAAAATAAACGGGCATTTCCCCAGGTTTTTCCTTCTCTTCACTGTCTAAGCATCATTCTATGTCAGTTTACAAATCTACCACTGCACAACTGTGATTAAAATTTCAGCATGTAGTCCCACCATGGCCAGCGCTGCATACAGAGAGGGTATTTCCCTGTTAGGTTTGTCATTTTCTTCATTTTTTTAGTGCTAGGATCTGGCCAAGCCGTCCACACTTTGGTTACACAGTGAAGTTTGTGACTTTTATATATTCAGTGATTTGGCATTGCTGGCAGGCCCTCCTTGTAAAGGCAGAGAGACAGTGGAAAAACCTGATCATATGATGTGAGGCTAGCCTGAATTTCAACTTGCTATTAATAGTCTAATCATGGAACTTGACAAAGAAAGTTGCAACGACAAAAATCAGCTGAGATAAAGAATAAGAGAACTTGCCTGGCATTCGATGAGTGGAACTAAATTTCAAGATTTTGTAACCTTATTATTTCACACATGAATTTACATTGGACCATTTACAACTGGAAGAATGAAACAAATAATAAATTTCAATTGCAGATAAATTTGCATTTGGATCATCGTTTGCAGATAAATTTGTATTTGGATCATCGTTCTTTGCAAAAATTTCAGTTGGCATGAAATTGCAAATTCAGACAATACTAAGAGCTTATTCCATAAAATGTAAAAAAAGTGCAAATAACTAAGTCCTCTATTGTTACTGATTTAGCTACAATCAAAAATAATCCCTTAAACTGTTTCAGATTGCACTCCAGGAAACAGAGTTTTTTAATTTCTTAAAGAGGAAGAGGAATAGTTAAATAAATTGAGCACAATGTTACTTTTAAGAATACCGTCTAATTGATGACAGGCTAGGAAACAAGTCCAGCACCCTACAGGAGTTTCCTTTCACTCAAGAAGCAAAGATGGAAATGCTTTAGAGATGGTTTGGCAATGACGGACAAATTTCAGCTGCTGGGGATACTGGATTGAATTGTTGTCTCTCCTTCGAGGAGAAATACACTTGTCACAAGTCAATTCTCATGATGGATTGCACTCTAGGTGTTGTCTGGAATATCTAGGCAGCCAGATAGGACCATATGTATTGGCAGCCACCTTTTGATTTGTTCCAACATTTATAAACATTGTCAAAGATTAATTATTCTCTTGAATGCTTGGAAGTTATGTTTTATTCTTCATATTTAACTCTGGAATTACAGCTTACCGTATTAAGTATTATCAAATTCTTTCCCCATTGTTACTGGTAAAATTTGTATGATTTGACCTTCATTCTTTCACCTCAAATATAAAAACACAATTACTTTTCACGTGAACTTCAACTTGCATTAATTCATAGTATGCATAGATTCTTAAATTCTCTTGAACCAAACTGGGACGCTATTTTTTCGTTTGGTTTCCAAAATTAGCTGAAGTATCCGTGACTATAAAAACATCTCCATCATCAGCAGCGAACTTTAGAGTGGGAGCAGCGGCTGACCTAGGCGCATCAATGCATGCATGGCTGGCCACACAAGGCTAGAACAAGACATCCAATACCATCTTGCCCTGGTAACAAAGCTTGGTAAAATTAAAAATAAACAGATTTTCTGATGGAAACACCTGAGAGGATCATTACCATGTAAATAGGAAGAGGGATGAAGTCTTGCGCCTGATGACAGTCCAGAGAGGGGGAGGGAAAGAGGAGAAAGAGGGAGAGACAGGACAGGAAAAAATGAAAAGGACAAAGTACACGTACAGTGAAGGAAGTCAATTCAGGTCATGCCAGGAGTACTTGATGTATGTTGCTTTGAAATCCATTAGCGTCTTGTGTCATGGGTAAATGTGGAATGTTTTGCTTGGAATTGGTTGATTAGAATTTAAAACAAAAAATTCAAGGCACCCGATGTTACACACTGGCTCCATCTTGCCTTGCCGGCATACATCCAACTGTTGTTAAGTGTGCCCAGTATTGTGCAAGAAATGTGAGGGCAGATGGCTCCCATTGGGCAAATGTGGAGACTCCAGCGGTGTGACTTTGTCACGGATGGCTAACTTGGTAATATAAAGCCTCCATGCCCTGAAATATTACTCCGCAAATAATCAGTGACAGTTCGTGCCAAAGACCTATCCATAGCCAGCCAGGCCACGCAGCACAATTACCCCTGCTTCGTCAATTATTCAGTAACAATTTCAACGGCAAAGCAATCGATCTAGCCGGCTATTTATATATGGGAAAGACACCCGAGCAGTGTAGAATCTGCTACTAACTGGCCTTTACCATCCGGCCCTGTCTGCTGATAATTCTACCATGCTTCCAGT